CTGATTCCAGAGCGACTTTGGGCAAGACCGACAACCTCCAGCGGTACATGGATGTTACAATCTGAATTCCAACTCATACACACACCGACAATTCGATCAAGCAGCTAGAACAGACAACAACATTCATACCTTGGCCTTTTCCATGGTGCTTTGTAGATAGGCCCACCCCAAGAACCCTAATGGTCCATGTGCCCAAATAGTATATACTTTGGCCCCAGAGTACCTATATAGGGACTACATTGAGGCCAAAGTATGTACTATTTGGGCACATGGACCCTTAGGGGAACCCAAATCCTAAACCCTAAATCCTAAACTCTAAACCCTAAACCCTAAACCCTATAAACCCTAAACCCTAAACCACGAAGCATGGATTCTGCTTGGGGACAGCCGCCTGCTCCCTGGCCATTGCCATCTTCCTCTTCGCCAGCATCACCTTGGGCAAAGGACTTCTTAGTTGCTGAGTTCATAAGCCCCCAAAAGTGTACACTTTCAGTTCTATAAGGGATCATATAATCCCAAAAAGTGTAAAGTGCACTCACTCAGCTACGAAGACATCTTTCAGAAGGGGGGACGGGTATGCGAATATGGCTTCGGGTTTAGGGTTTGGGTTTGCGGTTTAGGGTGTGTGTATGAATATAGCTATGGCATACAGAACAAGGGGATACATATGTACATAGTCATACTAGATACTTACACTCTCCCTTTTGGGGATCAGAGCAGGGGCTAGGGCCAGGCAGTGCAGAGGGTCAAGGTCTCGGGACCAGAGTTTCAGGCTCCTTCAAACCCTGCTGTAATGGACCAGCTGATGCCCCCGACATTCTTCTGAGCAAAAGCTTTCACGCTGCAATCGCAACGATGGCTAGCATCTGGACCCTGTAACTCTAGAGCCCAAGCCTGAGATCCAAAGCTCGAAGCCCCAAGCCCGAACCCCCAAACCCAAAGCCCCACCCACACCCTGGGCTCGGTCTGAGAGGCAACCGGGTCCCGGACTCGACCCCAAGTCTGAATCTTCACGACGCTGTTCCTGGCGAAGTCGCATATCCATATACCCTGTTTTTAGATCTTTCGGTCACAAACGCACATGTGTGTGTGTGTGTATGCAAGATGCATGGATGCATGGATGGATGG